CATCATTGTTGTTTGGCGGGCCCGGGATGGGTTGGAACCTGCCACCTTAGGCGTATGTGGCTGGCGCCTTAACCACTTGAACCACAGGCGCTGAGCCTTTTTTTTTTTTTTTTGTCGAGACATGGCTCTACCCTGTGCCCGGAGCAGAGTGCAATGGCGTCGTAGCTCACTTTGGCAACCTCAGACTCCAGCTGTGGGCATCCTGCTGCCTCAGCCTCCGCAAGCTGCAGGGATTACAGGCGCTCGCCACAGTGCCCAGCTGGGTTTTTCCATTTTTTTCATGAGTCGGGGGTCTCACTGTTCTTCCGACAAGCCTTGAACTCCTGAGCTCAAGCAATCCTCCCGCCTCAGCCTTCCACAATGCTGGGAGTACAGGCGTGAGCCACCGCGCCCAGCCAATTTAATATTTTTATCAAGAGTATTTCTGGGCTGGGCCCCTGTAGCTCAGCGGCTAGGGCGTCAGCCACATACACCTGAGCTGGCAGATTTAAATCCAGTCCTGCCTGCCAAACAACAACGACGGCTGCAACCAAAAAATAGCTGGGCGTTGTGGCAGGCGCCTGTAGTTCCATCTACTTGGGAGGCGGAGGCAGAAGAATCGCTTAAGCCTAGTTGTTGGAGATTGCTGTGAGCTGAGATGCCACAGCACTCTACCCAGGGTGACAGCTTGAGGCTCTGTCTGAAAAAAAAAAAAAAAAAGAGGGCGGCGCCTGTGGCTCAAAGGAGTAGGGCACTGGCCCCATATGCGGGAGGTGGTGGGTTCAAACCCAAACCAAGCCCAGGCCAAAAACTACCAAAAAAAAAAAAAAAAAAAAAGGTATTTCCTCTAGTAATAAAATATACTATATCTTTACTCTGTGCTATTTTTGAAGGTTATAACAACTTTCACATGCCTACATTTCTTTTCACAGAAAATAATCACTTCTTGGGGAGACAGTTCATTGTTGTATCTTATAAATGAGGTAAATGGAAAAATAAATCTTTTGTGCAATGTGATCCTGTTATACTTTGACTGTTTAGTTTAATATGCTTTGCCATATTACTTTACAGAGAAAGTCACTCACCCGAAGTCAGAGTTCCTGCATGTAAGAAAAGAGTAGTTAAGTACATTGTATTAAAATTACGAATTCATGCCCTCATCATTTATTAAGCTAGGTGCTAGGTATCTGTGTCAGATGTAAGGAATACACAAAATGATTAAGAAAAAGATCTTTTTCCAAGGAGAAAACCACCTACTTGGGGAGACACAATACAGATTAATTTTAACACAATGCTTAAAAAAATGAAACAGAAATATGCACAGGAAGTTGTGGGAAACTCAGGAAAGAGTCTGTAAGTTATCTTGGGTGAGGGGCAAGACCATGAAGTCATCAGGGAAGGCATGGCTCAGACTCAGGATATTGTTTGGCTGAGGTTGCCAGATAACCCACTACGACAGAAGCATGGCCCTGTAAAACAAACCTTTAAATATGAAGTCTATTTTCATACTGCATCCTAAGAAGAGAGAATGTAAATTCTGACACAGGAAATGAACTAGCAAATCTGTCACTTAGCAAAAGAGGTAGTATACAAAAATCAGTTAAGTACTCATAGGAACTTACTCTGGCTTATAGAGAAAGATTTTTTTCTTTTCTTTTTTTTTTTTTTCTTTCAGAAATGGGTCTTGCTATGACCCAGGCTAGAGTGCAATGGTGTGATCATAGCTCACTGTACCTTCAAATTTCTGAGCTCAAGTGATCTTCTTACCTCAGCCTCCCAAGTGGTTGGTACTACCAGTACATGCTAACATACCTACCTAATTTTTCTTTCCTTTTTTTTTTTTTAAATAAAGATGGGGTCTCCATCTTGCTCAAGCTAGTCATGAACTCCTGGCCTCATATAGTCCTCCCCCCTTAGCCTCCCAAAGTACTAGGATTGGAGGTGTGAGGCACCATGCCAAGCTAGAAAGGGGAGTATTAAATGTGTCTAATTCAAATATTATAGAGATTATTAACAATAGTTACTTAGTGCTTCAAAGGAATTTAGGAGTGCTATATGTACTGAAGGAATTCTTTTAATCTTGTAGTGAAAACAAATCATTATAACATAGGAAGAATGGCATTAAGTTTTAAGCAATTCCTAAAAGGTATTATAGGGGTGAATAATTCTCAGTGGTTAATCAAGGGATGCTTTATGGAAGAGGTGACATTTGAACAGGAGATGAGATAAGAAAAAATTTGACTGGAAGCTGCTTAAAGAGTGGGTTTGCTCAACTAAGGCAAAATACATGTGCAAAAAATAAAGACCTGAAAATTAAATGCATTTCATTATTAAATGGAATGGGAACTTAAGACATATTGTAAAGAGATTCTTGGTGGGGCGTGGTGGCTCACACCTGTAATTCCAGCACTAAGGAATGCTGAGGTGGGAGGATCCCTTGAGTTTAGGAGTTCAAGACCAGCCCCAGCAAGAGTGACTCCGTCTATAAAAATAAGTAAATCAAAATAAATAAATAAATAAATAAAGTCAAAAATAAGTAAGTAAAGAGATTCTCAGAGAGACAATGCTGGCAAAAGAACCGATACTTCCCTCTACTTGGGAAGCTGAGGCAAGAGAATCGCTTAAGCCCAAGAGTTTGAGCTGTGAGCTGTGACATCACAGCACTCTACTGAGGGTGACATAGTGAGACTCTGTCTCAAAAAAAAAAAAAAAGAACACAACTGACAGCCTCAAACATCATGATTAATAATTTGGATTTCATGTAGCAGCTAAGAGGGAGTAGCCATTGTTGTTTTCCAAGGCAGGAAGAAGGATGAACCGTGTTATTGTTTAAGAAGAAAAATTTGGTGGCAATGATTATTGAAACTAGAATGAAGTTGAGGAGCCCAGATAGAAGGCCATGAAAATAATTAAAGAGAACGATGAATTTCTTATAGAGAACAGAGACAAAGAAAAGGAGAGGAGGATGTTCCAGAGACATAAGTAGTGAGACTTAAATTCCTGTATATAGGATGCTGACTGTCACTATGAAGATGGTGAAACCAAGGTAAGGAACAGAGGAACAGTAAGCTGGATAACAAGTCCAGGTTAGACACTCAACATTTGATATACCGACTAGAATACTGAGAAATACTCAGTAGAATACTTAGTAGACAGATTGGCCTTGTGTCTGGTGCCTTAGAGAAAGTCAAGATTGGAGCTAGAGATTTAGGAGTCCTCAACTTGGAGGTGACAAGGGAAGTCACAGGAGTGATAGGATTAACAGGGAACATGTGTAATAGGAAGAAAGGGTAAAGGGAAGAATCTGGAAGAACTCGATTTAGAAGAGATAAGAAAGGAGCTGAGGAGCAGCAATAGAAGTAAAAGGAATGAGACTGAGAAGAGAATCCGATTTGACAAAGAGGATGTCACTGCTGTCTATTAAGAAAAGTTTTGGGCTGGGCGTGGTGGCTCATGCCTGTTGTCCCCAGCGCTGTGGGAGGCCGAAGCGGGTGGATCACCTGTGCTTAGAGGTTCGAGACCAGCATTATCCAGAGTGAGAGCCAGAGTGAGACCCCGTCTCTACCAAAAATTGCCGGGCGTTCTGGCAGGCATCTGTAATCCCAGCTACTTGGGAGGCTAAGGCTAGAGAATCACTTAAAACCCAGGGACCCAGGGGTTGGCAGAGGTTGCTGTGAGCTATGTGCCAGAGCACCCTAGCCTGGGGGTGACAGAGTGAGACTGTCAAAACAAACAAAAAAAAAGGAAAGAAAATTTTCAGTTAAAGAGGCAGATTGCCAGGGCAATAATCATCAGGCAAAGAAAAGAGACACCTTTGAGAAGTTAGACAATGAGGGGAAGACAAGGGTGGAAGCTTGAAGATAAAAGCCAGCAAAAAAATTAAAACTGAAGAGGGGATTTGAGAGGTAGAATCGGGAGGATAAAACTTGGGATCATGAAAAAAGCCCAAAGAAACATCAATATGTAGGAGGTGTTTATGTTATGAGTTGAACTGTATCCCCCATTCCCTGGAAAGGTATATTGAAGTCCATAATCCCCATACCTCAGAATGGGACTTTATCTGGAAAGTGTTGTAGCAAATGTAATTAATTTGGTGTAGATGAAGATGAGCTGGATTAGGCTGATGACAGAGACACAGTAGCACAATGCTGTGTTAAGAGGGGGCACTGTAATGATGCATCTGCAGATCAAGAAACATGAAAGATGCCAGCAAACTAACATAGCTAACAGGCAAGGAGGATGTCCCCTAAGCAGGGGTTTCCAAACTGTGGTCCAGGGGCTGAATGCAGATTATAGGAGGACTGTATTGCTTATATTGCAAAAAGAATGCTCAAGCCCTTCTTTTTTGCTCGTCAGCTTTTGTTAGTGTATTTAATGTGTGGCCCAAGACAACTCTTATTCTCCCAATGTCCAGCAGAAAAGAATGAAGGCTGGAGGCCCCAAGTTGATTTCAGAGGGAAGGAGCATGGCCCTGGCCACACCTTGATTTTGGACATCTAGCTTCTAAAAGTATGAGGCAAAGAATTTTTGTTGTTCTGAGCCACCCATCTAGCTTTTACAAGTATGAGGCAAAGAATTTTTGTTGTTCTGAGCCACCCAGGTTGTGGCACTTTGCTCTGGCATCCTTAGGAAATGAATACAATTTGCTTCAAAATGCGGGAAGGGAAAATTTGTTAGAGAGAGAAAGGAAGAAAAGAAGATAAGGAAAAATGTCCTCTTTTACTTTTCTTATGTTCTGTTTTGGAGAATTGTTTATTCCTACTTTGACTCTTCTGGTGAGGATCTAAGTGAGAATAAGTTCTAAGCAGGAATAGCCAGCCCTGTGCAGAATGGACAGAAGTTTAGGACCAAGAGTGTGGTCCTCAGCCCAAACTACTGCACACCTGAAGAAACACTCAGAACAAAGATAAGATAAGGGGTACAGGTGGGGTTTCTCTAGACCATTGAGACTTAACTAGATGGCAAAGGACAAATGGCTTGTGTCCTTCATTGTCTGGTTTTTTACATTCAGGTATTACGATAACCATTGCCATTTCTGTTTTCTTTTCCTATAATGAATGCTATATAGATGAGAAATGAATATCGCATGAGTTTATTTTCTTTTACTTTAGATAATGTAAGAATCAGAGAAATGTAAGACAGTTTTACCATGGAAAATAATGTAGTGGCTCGGC